AGGCACCACAGAGTTCAAAACCCCCCCCCCCCCCCTCAAACCCCACCCAGAGGTAAGAGATAATTTACAGCACCATATCTCCCTTTTTCCCCAACAAAAAAATGCATAATCACGATACGGACTTTGGAGCTTCATTTTTTATGTGCCAGAAATGCTTCCAAGAGTCCTACACTTTCTCCTTCTCAAACTCTCTCCATACATTTTATGTTAAGAAGGAAGGAAAAAGCTGACTGGTGCTTTGTCTTCAATTCTCACAGTTTCTCCTTTCGCAAACCCAGTTTCTCAAAGTTTACAGAATGATTCTGCTAGACGTCTCATAGTTCATAGTCAACAAGTTAGCCAGCATCCAGTACAATTCCTTTCACAGATTAGGTGGCCTAGAGCCAAAATATATTGAAAGTCCCTTAAGCGTTTTTCATAAAATTCATACAATAATGAGACACAAGAAAAAGCTAGCATGGCTTGGATCTGGTAGTGAGAGCGCAACACGCGATGTGTGACGTTAGGCGCACAACTGCACATCATGGTATGGAACTCTCTCATATACAAATATATGGTATTTAAATGGAAAAAGGTAGAGGGGTGAACCAACTATCTATCGAATTTTGGACCTTCCAACACTTGCCTCTGAGATTTCTTAGATTAAAAGGTGAAACATATGGATTTGCTTTCTAATGTATGGATCAATTAAATATGATAAAACAAAATAGTTAATTTAGTGAAACTGAGTTGTATTAGAAAATGAAATCGTCATAAACATGAAAAAAAAGGCTATACATAGAAAAAGAAGAATTAGAATTGATGAGAAAGTAAATACTATATTATTTAATATAATGAGAGAATCTGTTACTTTTATCAAAAAAAAAAAATATAATGAGAGAATGATAATCGTTATTTACTCACTCAAATGTACAATCTTTACCAAATTTTGAAAAACATTAAAATATGAAATCTTTTATTAATTATTTTGTAATTTATTATTGTATATAATAGTATAATACTTTATAGCTAGCCCTGGTCACTTGCCTTACCTTATAGCTGGCCCTGGTTCCTTTTAACTGGATTTTCTATTTATCTCTAGATACAAATAGAAATCCTTCTCAGCACACAACATCTACCGTGAAGAACAAACTTATTTATCAAACTTTGCTCAATTTTTGAAGCCTCAACAAAAATACTCATAGCATTGAAGGTGTTCTATAGACTCAAAATATCTACTTCTACTTAATACCCTATCTCGACATTTATCCAAAGTCAAATCATAAACCTTCCATGGCAGGTTAAAATAATCACATGTCAAATTATGAATATTCCTCAATTCAAACAAGTCTGCATAATTAAAAAAAAAAAAATTAACCTCAAAGCTATACCAAAGAAGTAAGCCTAACTCAAAAGTTGTCCCTTTTTCCTAAGTTCCTTTCTTTGTCAGCAAAGTCAGCTGTGCAAAAAATTGCACAATTTCATTGTAGATCATACAAAACCCTCAATGTGAAACTATAAACCTCAAGGTGGGGGGCCAATAGTCAGTAGAACTAGGGTGACAAAATTCGGTAGGAGATTCCAAAAGCCATACTAGGTGAATTTTCTTAATCTACCTAAACCTTGGTAGGGCAGAATTATCTGGTTCTTAGGTTGATTAGTCAAGATAGTTAGTGTAGGTATGCAAAAGGTGATGTTATCATGAAAAATAATGTGAGAAACTACAAATGAATTAGAAGGGTAAAGGAAGGATTAGTAATATAAATGTAAGTTGGTTATGAAACAAAAAGTGTGAGTGAGAGAGAGAGTACTTGAGATCTTGTTTGGAATAAGGAGAGGATGAAGATCGAGGATCAATAGAGGACATCTCCAAAACAGCCCGATCATTATCATGCGCCACGACGGGACTGTATTTTCGTCCCCTAATAGCTGATGGGAACTCATTTTCATCCCCGCCACCTTCAATTTCTCCTCCAGAATCCATTTCCTCTTTATCTTGATTAGAATGCATTGCCTAAATTTGATTCAGATCTGATTCAACCTAGAAATTCAGAGAGAGATCTGACAATTCAAACAACACATCGGTTGAATGTTATTTGTTCTATTTTTCAGAGAGAGAGAGAGAGAAACGAAATATGTTGCAGATAAGGACGGGCGGGCGGGAGAAGAGAAAAAAGTGTTAAAAGTTTGCTTAATTCTTAACCGAGTTTGTTAATTCACATGCAAATTGACAAAAGCGTGCACCTCAAGAACCCAACCCCTTTTTAAACACACCACCTGTTGCGGGGGTTTCCAACGCCCAAAGCAAAAATTACTTAAAAATTTGGCCACAATCCCCATATATGAATTATGATATTAATAAATAATGTAGGTTCACATGAGTGTTTTAAACGGTGGCATTTTACTTAATATAGATTAATGTGTACGTTTCGAAACATGGGGCATAAGTTATATGGATCTTAAAATTTTTAATCTACAATATCATAAAATAATATAATGACACAAAATTATAAAGATGCATTAATAGTTTATAATAATTACAAATATGATTAAGAAAACTCATAGAAAAATAATAAAACTTCTAATATGATTTTACAAGTTTAAATAATGTAATGATATAAAAATTATTATGAGATGCAAATCAACTCTAATAGCTTGACTTTCTAATAATAAAAGAATTATTATTTCTAAAAATATATTACTATCGTACTATAAAATTTTTTCCCCCCCCCCCCCACCAAAAAAAAAAAAAAATATATATATATATATATATATATATAACTTCTTAGTGTTATGATAAAAACATTACTCCATCATAAATAAAAATAAAATTACTTTTAAATAGCTAAATAATAAAATATGATAATTTTAAGACGTATGACAAAAACCTGAAGAACAATGATAAGTGAAGAAGTAAATTTTCGTTATGTATTTTAAAAGAAATGTTACGTAATATATAATCACTCTCACAGTGTTACCAACTAGTAAATACAGAAAAGGGTCATATTTACTCTTGTACTCTCATAAAAGGGTTATATTTTCCCTTCGTCATACTTTTTTGATATATTTACTCATATCATCCAATTTTAGGCACATATTTACCCTTGGACTATGTTTCATGTCACCACTTTTGTCAACATGGTGCCTACATGGCACGCCTATATATATATATGTATTTTATTTAAAATTTTCTCCTAATTTAATTATTATACCCACCCCGCCCCTTCAACTACCTTTCACTGAGCTCTCAAACAAATTTTTAAAAAATCTGAAAGCAATTTGAAGAAAAAGCATAAAAAAAATTCATTTTTTTAATCTTTCTATTGATGTTTGATAGCTGCAACTCTCGGCATTTTTCATGGCCGATGAAATCTTGTTTCCCCAATAACTAACACCCACCACCCTACGCTATCGGAACCACCACCATTTTATACACCAGAACCATTATTACTACATTCACATATGACATTCTTCTTGAATGTCTATCAAGATTCAAGGGTAACTCATTCTTTTTATTTGAAATTATTTTTCTGTAACGATCTGGTAGGTCGTTTTGAGCACTAGCTAGAACCATTTTGACTCTTTTCATAAAATTTTAAATGAAAATTTTGAATTATTCGTTTAACTACAGTTAATTAGCTAACGGAATATTTTAGATAATTAATCAATTGGTGGCTAATGGACTACGTTGATAACTTATTTAATATCTTATGTCACTTGGCTCATATGTTAAAAAAAAATTGAATTAAGTTAAAGAGGGTTATTATTTTTTTACTGATAATACAACCCAACTGCAGCTCAAACCTGCTAACCAGAGAAAAACGAGAACGACTTCAGGTAAGAAAATGTTTAGTCGTACTATATTCTTCTGTATGCCTATGTTGATTATGGTTGAATGGGTAGTGTTAATATTATAAAATTGGATGGAGAAAATTAAAAAAAAAAAAGAAAAGAAGAAGAGCAGCATATAGGGAGGAGTGGATTTCTTTGGATTGGAATTTGAAGCAATTAGATTGTAGCCAAGGATAGGGTGATGTTTAATTAATAGTTGGAGTAATGATTGGAGAGGGTGTGGCAATGGTAAGTATAAATGTTATGTTGAGGTTAAATGTTAAGAAAAAAAAATCTATAGTTTTTCATGCTAATTTTCCTTCAATAGAAAATAAAATATCATTTTCCCCTCTCTTTTAAGGTTGGTTGTTTTCCCGAGAAAGAGTGTTGGGTGTACTGTATCATGGGAACATCAATAAGTTCATGATATTGACAGAAATTGAGACTTAACCCTAGGCTTAAATTCAGAAATATGAGACTTGGCATATTAGTTGGCATCAAGATTTAGGTAATTGATTATAGATTTGGGTGACTTTTTGGGTCTAGGATAGACATATAGTAATTTGTAAGTCTACAAACTCGTCTACTTATGAATTGTACAGATTTGATAGATTGGGAATATTTGGAAGCTCGGAAAAAGGTGAAATCTTGAGAATTTGTGACACGTGTTCGGCATTCAAGGTATGTCAAAACTTTCAGAGTTCGTTGAAGGACGTTTTTCTAATTAAGGATTAAAAATAGAATAGACAATAGGTAAGGGAGAAAGATGGAGGTCTCCCACAATGGTGTGATGGGCATTGGCACGAGGACTGGTGTTATAAAGGGAAAATATATTACTATAGAATGACGGATTGTAATTCGATTATATGTCATACTGATATTTGATTGATTGAGATGCATCTACACTTGTTTCACCTATTTTGTGGTGTAGATCCAGTTTCGGATACAAATACATCTCGTGGAGCTTTCTGAGTTCGAGTTTGGATTATCTTGGAGTTGTAGTGAGCTGTTTGGCTGTTCCGCAGTCCACACCTCCCTCTATCTAATTATTTATTCTGTTGTTTTAGTATTCAGACATGGTATTTCTTATGTTTAGACTTATCATTTTAGTTTCATAATTGCACCATATTTTAGAAGCTCTTGTACTGATGACACCAAAATCTTGGGTGGTATTTTAGCTTTTGTAATTCACACTTATGCAAGACTTAGTGTTGAGACATTTTGCTTATTGCTTATCTTTTCACCTTAATTATTTAGTTGAATTGGTAAAACTAGTGGGTTGGCACTACTACAAAATGGGGTATTGACGGCAATTGTTTAGCGGCAATTAATGAATTGCCGTTAATTAATTCTTTAAGCTGAAATATTAGTGGCATATGAACAATGGCTGGTAAAAAGTATTATTTTAGTGACTATTAAAATAATTAGCCAGTAAAAGGTATTTTTTTAGTGACAATTAAAACAATTTATTAGTAAAAGATACTAATAAACATAACTTTCTTTATTTTTTAGGTTTCCGTCCAATTTTATTCCCTCCCATTCTAATAAGAGAAATTAAAAACAAAACCCTATTCCCTCTGCTTCCTCAATAATTCTCGTCTCTCAAACAGCTCAACGCGTCTGCTCCAAGAGAAACGATTCAGGTAAGCCTTCAAACTCTCCACCTTCACAATTCAATTTCAGATTCATGTTCTTACTGAAACGACCCATCATCACAAAGAGACTGTTGCGATTTTGCTCTAGCGGGTTATACTTTTCGATCAAGTCTGTTTACTTATTGAACAAGAACTGATTTTTCAAATCGTTTGAAGTTTGAAGGTTTCTTAATTGTTTTTTTTTAATCTTATTTTACGTTTTCTGGAAGGTTTTACAACAGTCATCTTGCCCCTTCACTTTTCGTCGGACAAAATCCTACTGCCAGGTACTCAAATTAGTTAGGGCAATTTGTGATTTTGTAAAAGTAAGTTTTCTGTATTTTCTAACTCTGTTTTGTGATTTATGTGTTCTATTAATTTGATGGGCAACTGATTGAATTGATTACTCTATTTGTAAGGTTGATTTTATTATATTCAACTATTCGTGATTGTTCAAATATTTTTTATTGTATCGGATGAATATCTATATTTTTACTTGAGTTGATAAATTATGTTATCGAATATCTCTGATAGTTGCCTGTTTAGCTAACGCTTGAGCAGTGTTCTTAAGCGAGTGTTTTTTCTCTTAAAGCGAGAAGCTAAGCTAACTTGTAGGACAAAATTTTTTTTTATGCTCTATTTTTTCATAAGCTAAACTATAACAAGTTTTGGTTAACTCTTGAGTAGTGTTCGTAAAAGCGAGTGTTTGTCACTTAAAGCGAGAAGCAAAGCTAACCGTTAGCACTAAGTTATGTGGTATGCTCTGTTTTTTCATAAGCTAAACTATAACAAGTTTTGGTAACTCTTGAGTAGTGTTCGTAAAAGCGAGTGTTTGTCACTTAAAGCGAGAAGCTAAGCTAACCATTAGCACTAAGTTATGTGTTATGCTATATTTTTTTCATATTCCGAAATTTTCCTTTTGTTTTATAATGTTTTCAGCTTCTGTCTCTGTTTTTCACTGGTCTATATAACTTTTTTCTGTTTCTCTCTCCAATGTACTACTCTTGAGAAAGTCGTGTTAGGTGTTTTCGACAAGTTTTGGTATTTAATTTGAACTAAACCATCAAGTTGAGTGAGTAAATACCATTCTGGTTATGTTGTGCTAATCCAAAATTGATGTGTTATTTTTACTTTGGTTTATCATTTTCCTTTATACTCATTTACTCATGAATTCCTCAGATTGTTTATTGGTTTTTGAACTGCATTTTGTAGTTTTTTTTTAATCACAAATGACCTGTAGAAAGCAAGTTGTTCTATAGTTTTGATATAAGAAACAGTTAATCTAGCTTACTTACTTTTTGTAGTTGTTAGATTACTTTTTTGTGTGTGTTTTGATATTAAACATGGAAGAAACTATAAATATGTAAAGCTATAACAACAGTTAAGTTCGTGTTCTCTATATAAACAATCCATTTTGTTTCATTTAGACCTGTTCCATCTGAATATTCATTAGTTTGGGTTCTCATTCTTTGGTAACTTAAGTCAATATCGGATTAAAATTGGTTAGTTTAACATATCTTGAGGGTCAGTCAATTTCCTATTATGCTTTAATTGTTTTAACTCTTTTGATGAAGTATTGGCCCTGTTGTCTGTTAGTAGGCATATTCATTCTATTGAGCTGCAATGAATAGAGTACTAAATCCCACCATCATGATATCATGCTTTATAGGTGTCACATTTTTTGTGTCAGCTTCCAAAGAATTGAATCTCGAATTGAACCCCTGTTTTCCTACTGCTTTGAAGAATTTGTCACCATAA